TTATGATGTTACCACCCATTGCAACAATCACCAACAGAGACATTAAATCATGTCCACAAGGACGGCTTTTCCGTTTATGCTTTTAAGGAGTTCATCATGTTATTCCACCTCAGATAGTCAAGTGTTTCCAAATGAAGCCTTCCACGCTATCGTAAACGTCTTTGCTGTTCCACATCCTTTTCTGGGAACTTCATAAAGACTGCTATTGTGTGCAGGAGGGCGACAATGTCGTGACAGGGGTTCCAAGAGTGCCCCTTTCATCTTCAAGTCGATGTTCACTTGGTGTGGTTTGCTCGTCGTGTGTGATCTTTGTTATTGTTATTGTTTGTTTAAAACACTTTTTACAAGCACATCCAACGGAAATGGTTGGATCAATAGAGCCGCGCTAAGAACCTCCCTGTTCATGTTTAGTAGTGGGCTTGTCATATGAATCCTTCGCGTAAGCAAAACTCTGATGTGCGTAAGGTTGCGTAAGCGTTTTTTTGTGAGATGAAACTTGCGTAAGCCGCGTAAGCAAGTCGAAATTTAACATACATGTCACATGTATTCTTGAAATGTTTGGAAATTATAGGAGACCTTTGTTGATGAAGCCTTGCATTGGATCTTTTTCTTGGCAATTGGTATGGTCGAAGGTGATTGGCTCCACAGAAAGAAGGGTTCTTGGGGTTCCTGTGTTACATAGGCATCAGGACAGAGATTTTATGGGTCGACACATGCAAACATTACTCCTATAGCCATACAAACAACTCCCGTAGCCATAAAGATCCATAAAGTCTACCAGCAGTTGTCAGACACACTATGTCACCATGCAGTTATCGGTTTTGGTGTCGGTAATACGCGTAAGGCGCGCGTAAGCTTCGCGTAAGCTGCGCGTAAGCCCCCCTCTCTTTTGTAGACGGTGGCCCACGATGCCTCCTAAAGAGCAGGCTTTTTCTGACTCGCAATGGCGCCAAAGGCAACGCATTGTCCAGACCATCTACGAAATCCTGGCTTCTCACTGCCCTACACCCGCGGACGTAACAAACCTGTTGTGTGCTGTGCTTTGCTTGGAAAACAGATGGCGCGTAAGCTGGCGCTGTGGCCGGGTGCAAGATTGTGTTCGCGTAAGTGTTGCGTAAGCCCCTTTGTGTGCAAAGTGTGCGCGTAAGCTGCCATTGTGGTGGCGTAAGCCAGGCGTAAGCTGCTGCGTAAGGAAAGTCTTACGACATAGGCAGATGCCACACGTTTTGAGCACAGCTCAATAGGTTGTCGAGCTTGTTGTCTCAGTCGCATTTTTTCTTGTTCTCTGGATCTGGAAACTGTAGACACCGACACCACCGCGCCGATCTTCCTCAGGAAGGATGGCCAGTCCTGGTTAGATTCCAACCCGGAGGCTGATGCCGAGGACCGAAAGATGAAAACCGCATGGGTTGGACATACCATGCATGCATGGGTTGACCGGTGAACCTGCAAAACCGTTTTCTTTGGTTTGGGGGGGCAGGGGCATTGGTTTCCCCCACTGATTTGTTCACCTTTCTTTTCCAGCGGTTCACGGTGTCAGTAGATTGTTCACCCTGTCAGGGTGGAAAACCAGGAAGACTGAGGTTCAGCCCTGGGTTGCATGGCCACTGAAGTTTCACTTTAAAAAGACACAGTCTTCACACTGAAGTTAGGTCCGCCACCGCGGCGGACTGTCTCAGGGGAAAACAAAAACCATCCGGGACGCCTAAAGAAGATCTGTTTCTGTCGTCCATCGAAAAATCGGCACCACGATGACTAGGGTGGAATGTGTGTTTTTCTATGCGCTGCTCATGCTGTGTGTGAGGAGGATGGTATGTCCTCGTGATTCCTCGCTGTGACCTCCCATGAGAGCCAGACATGAGCCCAGAACCTCACATGTACGACATGTAGCGAAGTGAACACAGAACCTTAGTGATGGCGTGATGTAAATTGATCGATTGGTGATCGACACAAAAGAACTGGAATGACAGAGGCCTCCTGAGATTCTACAACACATCCTGCACAATACATAAACATGTCCTGCTTGTTTGCAGTATTGTTTACTTTTCTAAAATGTTGGGAACGGTTGTCCCAATTGACCAAGATCTACTAAGATTCTTTGGAGATGGGCCAACTATGAAGCGTTTTTTTTTTTCCTGCCCAATATTCCCATCGACACCACGAAGGGTTTGCGTTGTTTACTCCAGGAGATCAAGGAGAAACACAAGGAGATCGAAGGCATTTGCGCTCCCATCGTATCTCGGCGCGAGGGTCGGACCAATTGGACCGGTTTGTTTTTTCGGATGGAAGCTTCTAGTATCTTCTAGTGGTTGCTTCCCCATACAACTAACTGGTGCGACTCGTAGAGAATGGGGAAGGGTTATTCTAAGGTATCTAAAATAGTGGAGGGGTCAACCACCCTCATGTACCCTGCAAGTGGCACTGGACTCAGACAATGATCGTGGTTTCAATGAAGATCTCAAAACACCAACAGGTGCTTGATTCGTTGTTTGCTCGTTTCAATTTCCACTGCACAAAATTTCCTGATGGGTCATGGGTACTGTTTGGGTCTGTCCCAGTAAACCTGCAACAGTCAGTAAACCATTATTACTATATGTTGGAGAAAGGCCTTCACTAACCATCATCATCCACTGCTACTGGTAATATACCCAAGGTACTTTACCTGTCCAAGGGATCACAGGGAAATCATTTGCTGCTGTGATTGGCCACCTCTCCATCGGGCGTTTGTACTCTCCCGAGGTCTCCAAGTACTACGGCGGAGGCGGTGCCGGTGGGGGTGCCGGCGGCGATGATGATGAGGAGGAAGCTCATGACGAGCTCTAAGGCGTTGCTGGGCTGAGAGAACGAGACTGATGCAGCAAGGGCTAACCAGGACCAGAGTTGGTGGAGGTTTTTGGAAGTGGGAAGCCAGCAGAGAGGTTGGAGCTGGGGTTCCAGCTGGGAGGAAGGCGAGGTTAGTACAGAACAGAGATGAACCATGATGAACATCGTCTAACATCGTTTTTAGAAGGGAGGTCAATGGCAAACTTTCAGTAGGATTGAGAGAGGAGCACGTTTAGTAGCACTCTCTCAAGAAGGTTTGCTATCGATGGATTCAACATGTGCACAAAGTTACCAATAAAGCAACAGGGAAACGCATGGAACTACGACTGTTTCTTTTGATGTGGCCTACTGGCACAGGTGTTCAGTCAAGGGTCCAGAGAAGAGATGCCATGTTTTCTCATGGACAGGGTCGGACAGGAGGCTAAATACCTGCACAGGCAAATGAACCCCGAAACCATGGACTTCTAGTTGAAACAGTTTGTTTGATGGAGGGGCAGTTTTCAGTTGTCAGAGTTAATGGTGGTACTTGGCAGCAATTGACAGTTCTTCCAAGATCCATCTCTATCCAGGTCTTATTTGATGTCCTTTGCTGCACATTCCAAGGTTTTGTTTCGCACCTTCAGTGAAAGTCAATAGCTGAGGGCGGCTTCCAGTAGCCCGGAACACTTATGACATCGATGAATTCGATGTGTGGTTTGAGCCAAATGGGCTTCCAAACCGTCCAAAACAACTTGTGCGTTCGCACATGGTACCCTGGGCAACGCCCATCAACCCCTGCCGCAGCCGCGGCACGCGACATAAAAGAGCAGCTGAAGGAAGGGCTTGCGATGCCAACTTGGGACGGTCAAGTCAAGTTCTTCAAGTCCCTAATCCAAATCAGCCTTAGATCTTACCAGTCCTCTATGGTCGGTGGTTGCTTGTAGTACTGTAGTTGTTATGGCCATGGCAAGTTGAAGGTTCCAGCCCCAGCTTCAAAACATAGGGGTCGTACGGGTGGTGCTAGAGAGATTTTAGAAAACATGTGGAAACCCAAGTCAGTCAAAATGTCTGGCACTGTGCAGAATCATGAATAGACAGTCAATCTGTCAATTTAGGATCTGCTAAGATTCTTGAGGTGTTCCTCCAGACATTCAGGGTCTTCGATTGAGCCAATGACAAAGGCTGAAGGAGCAAAACACATGAGTAGCGGGTGTCCACCGGGTCCGATCACAAGAGAACCTTCTATTCGGTGATCAATGCTTGAGGGTCTCAGTAAAAAAAAGACAATTCCCTCACATGAAATTCGATGAACTTGCATCCCCCAGACCATCCATGGGACTGAAATCCTTACATACATTTAATGCCAACGTCGTATTAATCAACGGCCCCCCCCCCCCTAGAAGGTCAACAAGGTCAACAAGGTCTGAGATTGGAGGTTTTGGAGATCACATCCCCCTAATAGTGGGGATGACCTGATGATGAAAGGGAATTAGTATTTGGAAGAATTGGAATGAAAGGGAATTAGTATTTGGAAGAGCTGGGATGGAATGATGAGATCCATGAGAGCCCAAATACTAATTCCCTTTCATCATGAGGTCCATGAGAGCTCATCATGGATGGGGTTGACTAATAGGGGGGGGTACCCCACTATTAGACGGGGGTAGGGGGTGTATGGGGGTACCCTTTCTGAGCTTCTCAAATTGCAGATTTTGATAGAGTTTTAATAAGGGAAAATGAAAGAATTTTCCTAGAGAGTTTTTGGAAATTCTAGAAAAAAACTGTTGCTTTGGGAGAGCATTGGTAATCAATCAGAAGATCAGTTTCACCATGGCAAGACAAGAAAATATTGAAAAGGCAAAAGATATTGAAAAGGCAAAAAGAACAAAACTAATTAAACACATATATATATATATATTGAAGTAATTATGTTTTTCCTGGGGGGACAGGGGGTAGGCTAATAGGGGGGGGGTTCAGCCAAGCAAAATTTTTATTTAGAGGGTGGTGACTGTGGAAATTTATAGTTCAAATTAGTTTATTATTGGGGCCTGAACGCTGGGTAGACTAATAGGGGGGGGGTTGGTTAATACCATGTTGACATTACCCCACGAAAAATGACCCCAATTTAGGTAACTCACGCTTTGAGGTCCCATAAATTGTTTGGGTTTAAGAGGATCCTGGCCATGCGCCCTGCTTTTAAGGCGCCTACATGCCACCCCTGAATGTGGGTGGCGGCTCCTATGTGCCGCCCGTGGGTGCGGGAGGTCCTCCTGGAGGCTCCTATGTGCCTTGCTTGGCACTAGTGTTCGACCATAGTTGGCTATATTGGCTGGTTGACTACGAGAGAGCAAGGCAGCCTGTAGAAAGAAAGAATGTTCAGCATTCATCACATTGGGAAAAAATAGATTGATTTGATTAAGAGAGGGGATGCCCTCAAAGTTGCCCTCAGTGCCAAAGCGACTCCTTTATTCCTCCCATGTTATGACCATCACCCCTCACAGGCGAAAACAAGTAGCAGGAGTTCCATCTCGAAGTTCAACCAGAAGGGATTCGTGGCGTCGGGAAGATGTTGGCCGCCAAGTCGCCAAGTCGAGCCGTGCTGCTGGAGCCACCTGCATCTTCATTGCTTCTCCGGAGGTCTTCGGGATCGGTCTGGCAGGTTGGTGGACAGGAATCCTTCACTCCTTCACCCTGACCGACCCTTCTCTGACCGAAGCCACCCGAGGTGCCTCCACCAGATCTGCTGCAGGCGGGCGAGATCGTGTCGTTTCACGCCACGGCGGGCTCGCGCGGCTCGCGCAGCTTGGGCAGCGCATTTGGGGCCAGACCAGGTGGGTAAATCGATGTGCATCAACCAAACTTGCTCCAGTGAGATGGTGAGAGACTGAGTGTTTTTGACCTTTTTGAATGCCTTGGAGCTCCACCCTTGCAAAAGGGCTTTGGAACAGGTGGGCTTTTGTATGTGCCTGTACGCACCAAAAGGGATGCCTCATTTACAAACCCTTTGGCTTGTAGCCGCCTGTGTACGGGTATGGACATCATGGTTTAGTAGGGATGAAGATGGTGAAGTGAAAACACACCTACATGGCCAAAAGGCTACACAAATCCAACAAATCCTGCCTGGACTACATCTGTTGACGAATCTTTCAGCATCTCTGAGTGTTTGAGGTGATCCTTTTTGGGATTCCTGGTCAGAATATACTTTGATTCGTGGCCAAATTCATCCGAAGCCTTCCAGGAAAGCTGACTGCAAGGCTCGTTGATCTGTCTTACCCCAAGAACCCAGGCCGAACCAACACAACACATCGGGTTTGGTTCGGGCCCGGACCCCTGCGGTTCGGTGCGTTTCGGTGTCGGGTCCGAACCATGGAGGGGCCCGTTCTACCGGATTCTTAAGGGGTATCGGTGTAGGCGGTATAGGGACCATGTTCTTTCCAAAGTGGTCCGTGGGTTGTCAAGGGTTTGAGTCCATGTGGGAAATCGTCCAGAATCTTCGAACCAATTCTGCACAGCTGTTCCCTTGAAGCCATCGAAATCCTGCACGGCAAACCCCACCGAAGCCATCGGGTGGTGATGATGCAGTCAGGCCAGTGGAGGAGGCTCCTATGTGCCACCACCGAATCTGGGTGGAGGCGTGTGAGCTTTGAGCACTGGTGCTTGTGCCACAAACGAAGAGGGTGGAAGTCTCACGAGTTCAATGCACTCTGACAATCTCTGACTGTTCCATGACTACTTTCCTTTACATGCCATGGATGGCAGTTTCATTCAAAGGGTTCTCTTGAAAGACGTTCCTTTCCTCTAATTACAGAGGGGGTACTAGCCACTTCTACCCGATCTGGCTCAAAGCATCATGAATCATGTGGTGAAGCCACCAGTACTTCCTTCTTGGGCTGAGCGCTTCATAGAGTGAGCTCCACAGGGCGTCTGACGGAACGAACACTGCTTGGTGTGATGTTTTCTTGGCATTCGCAAGAAGCGCTCAGCGGGAAGAAGCGTTGGAGCCGGAAGAAGGGTCAGAGTTAAGAGTTTCCGGTTGGACGGACATCTGACTGAGAGGAACTGAGAGGATGGTTAACCCGCAAAATAGACCCACATAACGAAGCAGCTAACTAGGACTGACAAATGGGATAGCTGACTGAGATGAACTCATTGAGCCTCGTCAGCCGACCATGGGATCCGTGCACTACAGCAGTCGCACGGCAGGCGGAGGTTCCTATGTGCCTCCGGTGCAAATGCCCGCAGTGATGCAGCCCCAGGCGGGGCAAGGAATGGCTAGCCAGCGGAGTTAACCAGTGGTCATCGAGTGGAACAGATAATGTATTATCTTGGCAAAATAATTAGGAAAGGTGTATGCAATTGATGGGGAGTGTACTTTGGTTTAAGGATGCTATCCTTAGAATATCACTTTGTTTTGAGTGCTGCTTACTCAGTGGAAAAAAAAACAAACTGTGATCCACTTCCGCTTCTCACTCAGCTCTTTTTGCAGTTGATAAAAGGAAAGCAGTGGTCATCGGAGCCATTCTTAGGGCTTTCTCACTAGGGCGAAGTGGAGGTGGCAGAAGTTTCAACATCACGAACAAGACTGAAGAAGATAACATGTGTATAGGTTCTTTTCTTCTTCTCCCCCATTTGTAAGGCATTGTACTATACTGACACTTGATAATAGGAATCGAGAGCCAGCACCCAACACCGTTTTCCTGATATTTCTCCCAACACCACCGGTAGGTTGTTCTTTTCTTTCCGTGTATCACACACACACACACACCTGTAGTTGAACATCTGGATCATCTTCCGGACATTCGACTCGCAGTCAAATCCATCCACACCTTACGCGAGGTGCCGAGCTATGCCACGATGCCTGGCATGGCGGCTCCGCCCACCACCTACGGGTGCCGAGCTAACCTATCGATGCGATGTGCGGTGGTGGGCTGTGGTGCTTGGTCAAGCTGTGCCAGATCGATCGATGGGCAATGGTGGGTGCATTCTTTTGGAAATCTCTTGGTGTGGAGTTGCATGGTCCAATCTAGAAATTCCTTGTTCACGAGTTTGCGTCAGTTTGTGTTTACTTGATGGGTCAGTACAGTTAAATATGAACACAATATCAACACCATGCCTAACTTGGTCCGCTGTTGAAACCAGAATTGTAAGTTGTCCAACCAAGGTGGTGAGATCGGAACCACCGAGTGTCGACTTGTAAATGAGTCGGATCTAGTACTCTTTGCAGATGGGAGAACTGAATTTAATTCAGGTCGACGAGACGTCTCAGACGGTGGGTAAACAGTCAGGGAGAAGGGGGAGAACTGATTCCCTCACGCGCCTGAAAGGCTTGAAATCTTAGGGAAGAGGTGTCGTTTTCAAGTCTAAAGTGTTTTGAACACGAAGCTTGTGAAACCTGAGCTTTCCAATTGAGGGCTAGAAGAGCAGGGACGACTGAGTGGTGATGCTGGGTCGCATGGTGCGTGGTGAATGGTCCAACACTTGGGTGAAGACCTGTGTTCAGGATTTCCTGCACGGTGTCAAAGGCCACTCTTCTTGGAGCTGCATGCTATGGTGCTATGGTCTTGAGTCTACCTTATTAGCCTTATTATATAGTCAGTTCTCTCTGACCGCCAGGCCTGTCCCTTCGGCGTGCGCCGGCGTGGACACGGATGGTTGGTATACGATGAGAACGACTTGTTGCACTGGGCTTACTCATGTTGGTCGCAATTGTATACATGTATAATGCAGCCTCTCGAAGCTGTACTGGCAAGGCGTTCTGCTACGTCAGCGGGAATGATCGAAACAACCAAATCATTTGATGGACAGTGACGGGTGGCTTGTGTCATTTAGCTGGATGCCTTTCAAATTCCCAAGCTGGTGGAATCAGAGAATACTATTCCAGGTCTCACATCAAAGAAAATGGTGATTGGATGCGATTGGCTTCCAATTCCAATGGGGGTCATCGTCCCCGGATGTATACCTAAATGAATGCTAGTCCTGAAGTTCACCAGATGTGGCTACAGATGCGATGAACACCGTGTGCGCGGGCGCATACATACCATGTAGACAGATGATTTACAAAGCAAATCGCTACCAGAACCGTGTGACATCTCCATTTTTGGGAGGGTTCACTTACGAAGAAGTCGACCGTCAACTCCTTGACGTCGTCAGGAAGCAGTTCCCCAGCTGGTCCTGGGGTCGTGGGTCCTGGGCGATGGGTTTCGAGTGCTAACACAAGTCCTAAACAAACACCAGTGATTTCCGGAACTCCTGAACAAAACAAAACAAAACAAAGACACAAACAAACAACAACACAAACACATGTGACAGACAATATATGCGTGTGATTTCGGGATTGGCTGTGCTTACATCGCTTGGCATCCAACTCTCCGCAGGAGCTGTCGCTCGTCGCAGGACGGCTGGTCGCGCCCGGCGCGGCGCTCGCGCTGTTTGTCGCTCTCCAGGTACTCACCGGGGACCAACTATCCGCCCACAACGGCCCGGGGACTCACCGGAGACGGTTTTGACATCCACGTTTTCACGCCTATTTGCACCATATATGATGTTCTTTTGGTTATGGTCGTTTTCCTTGCGGTTTGATGCTGTTTGTATTTGTATGGTCCATTTGCACCTTGGAATTGGGCTGTATGGAATGGGTGTCGGTCTCCGTCTACGCCTTGGGCTCATCGGTCTTTCTCAGTCATCGGTGATCGATTCCAGGGGCGCTCGCTCAGTCTGTTTTTTCTCGGTGGGGATGGCCATGAGATTCACAAGGGTAGGAGACAGCTTTCTTAGAACCCCAGTTCAGCTTTGGGCAGGCACGAAGGAAAAGACTTTGGGAGCTCAACCCACTTACAAGGACAAGTCCAGTTCGCTGAGTGGAACCGTAAAGCAATGTAGTCTTGCGCCTTAATTCCTTTTTGAGTGCAGGTGTTGTTGTATGTTGATGTTGTTGTTGGTTGGTGTCAAAGATGTTTGGAATCTTTGAGTCCATTCTACTCGGCAGGGTTCCGTTGCACTCGGGTTCGCCGGAACCTTTGTAACTCATTTCCTCAGAATATGTGTTGTGTTTCTGTGTGTGCGTCACCTTGGGCGATGTGCAGTCATGCATTGTTCCATGTGACGCATCAAAGTCCCAGTTGTTTCTGCGGTTCGTGAACCTTTGCCCACCCATACCACCGAGCATAGTCACTTCCAGACTACCTCTTGTGGCATGACGCGTGCACCCTAAGGGCTGTGCACATCACCTTTCACACTCCCCTCCAACCTGCAGACTACACCATGCTGCAGGTTGCATGTATGAATGATGGCACAGCTTCCAACCTCGCGTCTTTGTTGCTGGGTCGCCGGGCATGAGCCACCGCACTGGCTGTTAGGCACCCAGCCCCAGCATGCCGCCATAGCTGCCACATCCTGCATGCCGCCATAGCTTGCCACACCCCGCACACCGCAGTAGCTGCCAGTAGCTGTCATGCCTCCCCTCATTGAGCACCGCCCATTTGCTTGTCACGCCTCATGTGCCGCCCACAGCTTGTCACATGCTCCATGTCGCCCATGGCATGCCACATGCTCCAGCCAATCCATTCCTGGATCCTTAACCAACGCCCGGCGTTGGGCTCATAACCTGTGAACGGTTAGATGCCAAAAAGGAAAAAGATCAGCCGCGCTGCCGACCTTTTGATCTTGAGCCACACACGTGACAGGGTTCACCCTGACTGAACTGGATGCGCTTGGCTTTCATCGACATGCTATCAAGTCAAGTCAAATGTCCAATATCAAAAGCCAATCACAGTTTCACAGTTTCGATTCCCCAAAAGCCTTTCTGACAGACCTACCAAAGTGTTCCAGCAGGGTGGTTGATGGTGACTGTTGATCAATACACTACTACCCAGAATAGTCATCACGTTTCATCTTCATATGGGGGGGTGAGTAATCTATATTGGAGATTGGTGATGCCCATCATTTACTCTACTGAGTGGGTCAAAAGATCTGCCGAGATCACGGAACGGCCGAACGGCAAACAACGGGTTTCTCTCTTCGAGCCGCAAAGGTAAGCGAACCGACCACTTGGGCCGAACGCTGAAACGTGGTCCCGTTCTCTGGTGCGGCGTTTCGCAGGCGTTACTTGCCACGGGGAATACGTTCTCTAGTGCAGGATGGAAGATAAAGAAGGAGCAAGTGAGACTGGGGGGGAGTAGTCAATCAGGATTCTCCATGTGCGGAGTATTATGAAGCGGTCAGACTGAATATGGAAAAGGGAAGCTATTATGGGCTGCATTGGAACCAGGTAGCATTGCCTCCAAAAGTGACACCTCTAATTGTTTTCAACCAGCTAAGCAAATGTTGATATCCTTTGGTTTGACGCCTACTTGAGAATCATTTTTGGATACAAAGTTACAACAGCGGATAATGATGCAGGAGCCGTCCAACGCTTGGCTCAACCCTCTGTGTGGCTCCTGACAGCTAAGTCATCCCCCGAAACAGGACATAACAGGACACCCAACTGCAGCCTTCTGGAATAGGCCTTTCCCCACTCCCGTCCTTGGGTTTTATGATGGCTTTCGTAGCAGAAGGAAGTGGAAGTGGAAGTGGAATCACGCAAACCCGTATGCAAGATCCGGCTTCACTTGTTTTTTTTCCGATGTGCTTCACGTTCAGCCGCCTTCTGGAATCACATAGGAAATAGGACACCTTCTCGGACCTTCTCCTACATTTAGGAAATTCAAAAAACGGGGGGAGGTCTGTCATTTGTCCAATCTTTGCAAATACATCATACTGCGTACTGTATGGGAATTGATGTTTGATATGTTTGCAATGTTTTGCATTTAGTTTTGACCCACATCCACACAGAAAGAGCGCACTGGCTGAAAGCTTGTTGGACTCCGATGATTAGGCTTCCAAGCGCTTTCTCTGAGGAACAATGAGTCAGCTAGCTCACTAGCTCTTTTGCTTTATCATGGTTTATCCATAGCGCAGCCTATGCTGTCCAAGTGCTATTGATTTATATCCAACATTATCCAACTATTGTCCTCCCCAATAACCATGTCAAATAGTCAAATAACCGTTTAAACTGAAAAAGACAGCTTAAAGATAATCATTTTGTCTTCGCTTCACTGATTCCCTTGCCATTCCCACGAGGTGCAAGCGCAGTGAACGCCTGAAATCTCACTCGGCTGCACTGGCGGAGCTGCAGAGCACCGCGAGATGCGCTTTTCGCGAGCTGCGGAGCAGCCTGTGGGTCGACCGCGCAAAAGATGTTCTGTCATCCACACTGAACTGCAAGATGTCCATATCCACTGGCGTATACTCATGTCCCAGACGATAGCCAGTGAATAGACTATATGTAGAGGTTGGCACCGCCATGTCATACCTATAAACTGGCTAGCAGGACCCCCCACAACCCATTTCGTCAGGCGTATCCTTCGACGGTTTGGGCCTCCACACCCGCGGCAAATGCAGCACTCCGCTGTAGCGCTCGACGCTGCGCGGTGAGCAAAAGCGCTCGGAGTCCAGGAAGAGCATCTGCGAATCCAAGGACATGGGACTTCATAGAAGCTATAGAGACCGGCCCAGATGGGCGATTTCCTTGACAAACGAGTGGGGTCTGGGTTTCGGGATTGATTGCTGACCAGCAAATTGTATCATGCGGCCCAGGTCTGAGCTATTCAATACTAGAAGACCCCAAAAAGAGTCTACCTACGAACCATCCTTTTGACCATGCTTTTGCCAAATTGCTTTGCCCAGAGCCTTCAAGTCAGATTGGCTTTGTCAAGGTTGACTGTGTGAGCAAAGCTATTGAGTGTGCTCCAGATACCAAGCTCAGGTGCGTTAGTCAGACCCCTTTGATTTGTGGTGAGGGCGGCTATATGAGATGTTGGCAACCAGAAGGACCCACACCCGGGTCTAGTATACAGCCAGCAAGGTGTGTGCGCGTGTGACCCCGTCGCATGTAGAATCGCTGCAATGGGCGGCGGCTGACAGCACGAACACGCATTAGATTCTTACGGCGGCTCTCACCAAAGGCATCGGCGGCGGCCGATGGAAGAGCAGACGTGACGTGAAATACATGCAACTGTCTAAACAAACAATCCCATATATTCACGATCCGCTTCTGCAGACTGAGGACCATCCCATTCGTTCTTCACAACGCTTCGACGTCGGACGACGGACCGGTCACGGCACAGTGACATGAGACCGAGTGACTGGCTCCCCCCCCAACGTTTGACTGGCTGTTTCTAGGGAGATTGGAGAGAATACAAGACTTTGGTGTCTACCAAGTACCAACATATCCCACATGCATTCAATAACCTCCTTTGGTACCAGTGATGTTTTTTTTTTTTGTGTGTGTGTCCTTGTCTTTGGGGTGCTTCTACACATACACAAAGATGAAACACACAAGTGTGAGAGAGCCGACGTAAGTATGCGTGAGTGTGCTGTAGTTGCCAGGGGCAAGGTGCTCAAGATGAAGAAGAAAGCCAAATGCATACTCTCAGGGTAGACAAAGGCAGACTAGAAACCAATAGTTAAAAATAATTTATATATTTTGGGTTTGTGTTTCACATACAGTCTCGAGTGGATGTATTGTACTTTGAGGTATATATAGCCAAATCGTTGCAGGATTTGCTGTCTACAACCCCCAACCTTTCTACCAAGGCAGTTCTTGCAGCGGAGTGGCATTTCCAAAATCTCCGGATGCTCCCAACTTAGTTGTTTGTGAGGCAGTTCTTGCAGAGGCATGGCAATTCCCGTATCTTCTGAAGCTCCCAAGATACTTGTGGATGCATGTGTTTCCTTCAATCACCATAAAGGGCTTGGGCCTGGTGGCCTTGAGCTCAGCCTACAGGAGGGAAGGAGGCAGGAACTTGAAGTTGTATCTTCAGCCTAGGGAGCTGCCCCTTCTTGTTGGAAGGTCCGTGGGGCACTGAAGGAGCGAATTTGGGTGGGTTGCTGTTCTTCATCGGCACAACCTGTGAACATCCAACGTCTCGTTCCTTTGATAGATGGAAAGGATATATTGGGATATATGAAGGGATACGAAAGGCAAAGGCTTTCAACATGTGGCACATGGATCCACATGGTTTACCCAAAGGTGGCTCACGATTTCTCACTCTTTACAAGGACTTCACTCCATTTCCGGCCCTCCGACTTGGGGAAACCTTGATCTCCGGCCCAATTAAATGACCAGTGACGCTGGCTGCAAGCGCCGCGCCGCTGGCCGTACGATAGCTCACCCCCAAAAGGGAGGACTCTGTCGAGGTGGTTGTTTTGGGTGGTAGGGGGGCCACCAGGATGGCTGGTGAAAGCTGCCAGACCGGAGCCTTGAGGTGTTCAGGTGCATTCAGGTGCCATGGACCGGCGTTTGGTTTTGCAATGCTCGGAATGGTTTAGGGTATTTGAGGTAAGGAGAGTTGGTCAGGGACCTTGGATTGAGTGCAGGTGGTTGAAGTGCATGGCAGGACAGACGTGCCGAAGCTCATGGAAGGACAGATCTAGTGAATGTGAGCAACATATAAAAGTTACTAATATATTATTTGACCACCACAGACAGAGATTGTGGATCTTTCTAGACAGATGGAGTTCTTTCTTGTTCATGTTCCGACACACTGCACTGAATGGAAAGATGTGGCAAGAGAGAAGGTATGACGAGTTCATATGTGATTGGCAGGAAAAGGCGAATCCCTGAATTTCAGGTCTACGTAGTCTCGCTGCATAATCAATGATGGCCCCAAACATTCTTCTTCGATGGAGTTGAGACCATTCATCCTTGTTTTGATGTGTCTTTCTGTTGGCTGCACACCGTTAGAACATACAGCGCAAGCAGAAGGACCGTTCGATCGTGTCAAACGTGTCATCGATGTTCCTTTGGAACCACAGCCCAAGGGTCCTAGAGTCCTAATGATCCTGAAAAGATGCAACAGACCCAGAGGACGTTTGGAGTGAGTCCTGAGCCGTTTTCCTGCTTTTTCTGGGCTCCAGACGGCTACCAACGGCTCAGCCGCGCCGCGCCGATGGCGATGCTGTCGCCTGGCCGGTATCGAGGAGGGGCGGCTAGGCGGCTGGGGGGCTGCAGAAGGTGCATCAAGTCACTGTAAACGAATCCCTGATATGTGGACCTAGTGAATCAAATACATCCAATACTACGCTGATGTTGACCTGTGGGTCAAAACCTGGTGCCCGAAACCTCTCAAACCCTGATATGTTGGACCTCCTCAAACTTGGTATATAGTTTGTTCTCTTATTTTCCTGACCACCTTGTAGCTGACTGGTGTTTCTGGCAGGTTGCACTCCACATCTCCAGATAAGTACTGGTGTTCGTTCGCACCTGCGTTCGCCAAGCTTCAGGAGCACCTGCGACTCCCTACGCGCCGTTTCGCCCTGCTGGGTGCCGATCCGTTTCGCGTTTCCCGCGTCGTTCGCATCGTGGGTGCTTTTTGTAGGGCACAGCGAGAAGGCCATGAAGTCTTCTACGTGTTTTTCTAGTATAGGTGAGCAGACATAGATTGATGCGGCACAAAACACACAAGTCATCTCTTGGTGCGTAGATACAAATTCAAATTAACAATGATCTAAATTTAATTTGACCAATTCTCGATGAAACCCAATGGAAACAAAGAAACATGACAGTCCATAAACACGATTTGGGATTTGGGCACGAGCTTTGAGTGGGTGTAGTTTGTTCAGAACTGGAGGAATTTGTTTCCTGTTAGTGGGAAAGGTCAGAAGTGTGTCATCCTTGCTTATGAACTGAACTTAGTGAACTTAATGAGTTTGCATGTGGTTTTGACATGTTTCGACCATTATGATGCTTATTACGCTCATTTCTGATCATTAGATAGAATAGGCTCCTTGATTCCAGCCCGTGTCCTAGTCAGCGGATGTCCCAGAAACCTTTGACAGACTCTAGCTTTTGGAACTCCAGGTTTGTAGCTCCCAGGTTCAGGTTTTGTATCATCCATCGGTCCATGGGTTGGGGAGCTCTCTTTTGGAACTCGGAGAGGTACACCAGCTGCGCACAGCCGATCTACGATTGGACCAGGACGGCGCATGAACATGATGTAATTGACGGGGTTGGGGAGCCATGTGGGGAGCCCCCTGAACCCCTCCTGGTAACAAGAACAAAGATAAAGAATCCATCAGAGTACCCATGTTTTCCAACAAACAAACACATGTTTTGGGCAGTTGCTGCTGAAGTGTTCCTTCAGATGCCCATCAAGTGGAGTCCCTCATGGCTTGTACTCGAGGCAAGTTCTGGATATCTCCGATTTTCCACTGCCAAAGAACTTGGACAAAAGGCTGATTGGGAATGGCCGAGCATGGCTTTGAGCTCACACTTGGTGCACAAACTCACCTTCCAAAACGCTTCCACTTTACTGTTTATTCCTATAGGAATACACTGAGGGGGGCTCATCATTTGCCGAGAAGCAATAGTCTGTTTGGTAGTTGTTCAACGCAAGAAACATATGACTTCCATTGACCATGGTGTCTATCAGTTTCTTAGTTTGTTAACCGAAAGATTCAGAAGAAGGGAAAGGATAGCTATACATCGGTCAAGTCGAGATGAGGAGCAGAGCAAATCATGTCTCTCTTTTGCAGTTCTCAATTTCAGGGGATATGTAGCATGATGTAGCATGTTGACCCACAGGGAAAAAAACATTGACCTCACTGGGTCCTTTTCAAGAACATACAGAACAATCCTCAATCCACATACAGAGTATCTTAATATTGTACAATTGTTGTTCCGGATGTTAGATTTTTATCAGAGCTCTTCTCCTCCCTTCTCCTTGTTTTCAACAAGCATCAGTACGGCAGGACACCCGGTACTATCCACGCCAGGACACCCGGTCGTGTGGCGCCTTCGCAGCCAGCGCCTTGGACTGGACCTGCCGCGCCCCCAACGGGCGCGGTCGAGCCGGTCGCGCCGGTCGCGCCGCGCGCGGTGCGGGCGACCGGTGCGGCCGTGCCGGTGGCGGAGTACGTGGAGTACCGTGGCGCGCAGGCGGTGGGGGTTTGGAGCGGGGCGATTGGAGTGAGGTTTTTGGGAGGAAGTTTAGGGACTTTTTTAAACAGAAGCTTCAGCTTTATAAGTTATAGTATAGATGATAGGGGAATGACGATGAACTCTTACTTCAGGTGGTGACACAAAATATGATTGATTGAGTTACCTCATAGAGACCCATTGCTTTGTTCCTGTAGGGAAAGTCATGAAGATGGATGATGGCATGTGATTTTTGTGTGGACTTGTCCATGGATACTCCGGAGATAGGCACT